TACTAATGTATGTTTTCAAATGTGTAAAATTAACGGCATGTTGATATGTTCTTATATACATGTGAACTGTTATTTTAAATGTTAAGAAATACCGTGATATGGTAAAAGTGAAAGTAATGTTAAAAAATTTGTTATTCGTGTGACTGTAAAAAGATTAAATCATGGTGAATATATGTGTTAAAGGTTGAATGATGTAGTTAGGCTCTCTGACGCTACACTTTAGAGTTAGCCACTTTCAGAATAGTACCTCAGGGTTTAGAGTTGAAAATTAGGGTGTGTTAAGAGGTCTTCGTATGTTGAATTTTAAACACGTTAGTGTTTTGATTGTAGGAGGAAGTGTGTGAACACGTAGACATAAACACATTCGTGTTTGGTGTTCTTTTACAACACATGTCAGAGAGCACGGGGAGAGATAATTAAAATAGTCATGAATGAAATAAGAATGTTAAGAGAAAGTATATTCTATATGTTATTTGCCAATGTCATTCTGTAACATTTCATTAAACTAGTTTTCCTTCCAGATCTCTGGAAGGAACCAGAATTGAATAAAGCTCCTGTTTAGATGCAGTACAGATGAAAAAAAAAAAAGATTGTTGTATATCCCGGGAGCTGCTATTGTAACAAATTTCTTTTTTTAAATTTTCTAGTTTCTAGCTAAGTTATGATTGTAAAAGGTTGGCCTCGCGTTAGTTTTCTAGAGCTAAAAGTTTTCAACAAGGTCGTTTTAGACCTCAGTTTCAAACTAATTAACTCTGGCGGGAAGTATGTAAGGATCTTAAGTTTTACTAACGTTTATTTTATTTTAAATCTTTACTATCACTTCTTATTTTCTACTTCCGGCCAGAATTATAAGCGTGAAGGATTTTATGCAAAGTTTGTCTGGCGAACGCCAAGTATTTAAGTGTGGCCTTTTTGCCAAGCGAAGGAGAGGAAGCAGTGAGTTCGAAGCAGGCCGCTTACCTTAGAAGTTACGCAGTTGCTATTTGCCTTCCAGGCCAGAGGTTTTAATCCTCTTGATAAATTAAACGTATTGTAGTGTTCACAGTCTCTGTGCTACATACGCTTCCTGTTATTATAAGGCCAATCTTCCACGTGTTATTCTAAAGTTAAATTAGAGTTTAGTTTTATTTTTTATATCTTTTACGTTAGACCCGAGTGGAGGGTCATTGTATTCCGAAGTACGGAAAGTCATTGTATATAAAGAAAAATAAAGGGTTTTGTATACCCTTCGTCTGTATCCTGTCTACTTACACAATTAGTGAACATAGCTTTAGTAAGCTCTCTGTTCCTAGTCAGGTCATTGTATGTTTCCGAAGAAGGTTAGAAGAAACATTGAACCTGATAATACTACTACAATAACACTTAAAACATAATACAGTCAAAAGTCGTTAATCTGGACTCGTCGGGACTTCTGCGATTCCGGATTATCGATTTTTCCGGATTATAGATCATTACTTTAAATCTGGTAAGATGGCATGCAGAAATTATAAAATTAAAAATATGAAACCATAATTTATGAAATAAAGAACAATTATGATCTAAAGGGTATCAAAATTTACAAAAAAAAAAAAGCTTAATATTTATTTGTTTACTTTATTAAACATTTCTTTCAATGTAAGTTGTTTAAGTTGCTTCGTTTTTTATGTGATAATACATTCTCTTTAATTCTATAAACAGACATAATTTCTTGTTCATTTACAAAGTTCCGCTGTTCAAGTCCTATAATTGCTGTGTCGAGAATACCGACTAATTTGTCAATCGAAATTATTTCATTTTCAATAACCTCTGTCACTTTCTTCGCTATCGGAAGCGAATTATAATGACGAGGAATTTGATTTAAATCATATTACAGACGGAGTACATCGAGATGAAATACTACATTTAGTAAAGAATAATAAGCCAAATAAAATAAAAACATCTGCCCTGAAGATAAGGATAGTGCTGACAGATCAACTTCCAATTCGCTGCCGCATTAAAGATAAACAAAGTTTAGATAAACAAAGTTAAAGTTTAGATAAAGAAAGGATATGCCTTTATCCATTTTTTGCAGCAATTCCACTTTTTGTTTAATGGACTTTGAAACATACTTTCGCTTTGTAGATCCTTTATATATTAGTAAATATATATCAGAAATTCTATTTGACATAATCGAAAGTTCAAGCTTACTTTTATAAAATTGCTCTAACAATTTGCAAAAAATAATAAGCCGAATCCAATTCGAAGATTAAGGAACAACGCAATCTGCAACATTAACTGAATTAGATAATTTTAGCTTAGCTTATACCGTCTGTTACACATTAAACGCGCACTCGTAAACGTATTTTGCGCACATGCACACTAGCAGCCGTATAGGTCTTACACGCACGCGTCAGCGCGACGCTTGCACAGAAAGTTTGTAGCTTTGAGGTCCGGATTATGGGTGTCCGAATTAACGACTTTTGACTGTACCTAGATTAACTATGACTACCCATAATCTAATAATCAGAAAATCTAAATAACTAGGTTGTCCTTTTTTTTTTTTTTTTTTTTTTTTTTTTTTTTTTTTCTTTTTTTCCTAAAAGCAGTTAAATACTTTTTTATTGCAATGCAAGTAAGGGTTTTCTCCATGCATGTGTTTGTGCATGCGTGTGTTCATCTTATTTTATTGGAACAATATGCAATTAAAAAGAAATAAAATAAACATAGCCCTAGCTTTACTTCTTTCAGCATATTAATCATATTAACTTCATTTCTGTAATCATACACTCATGTCCAAAATTATCTTTACATACCCAAAAATGATGATATTCAATGAAATATCGAATCAATGTGATCCGTATTTGCAGGGAATGTGTGAAAACCAAGCCTAATTAGCATTATCCAATCAAAAGTAATCAAACAGTTTGTGATATGCAAACCTAGGCGTTACGTCATCAAGCGCTTTGCGCAAACTGAATATTTGAGTGAATTTCTGCAACATAACGTTTGATTTCAGTGTGTAGGGACTCAAAGCGGTTTGTTATGGCTTCGAATTATCATTTGGAAGAATCTGTAAAGTGGCGAATTATCGGCCGTTGAAGCAGGGCACAATCATGGAAATAGCCACATGTCTGAATATTTCAAGACGACAGTCTCTAAGCTATGGAAACAGTTTCAAAGGAAATTGTAAGGAGGCCTGGACAAGGTTGGAAACGAATGACAACTGCTTCTGAAGATCGGTATAGGCATTAACTGCCCCGTAACAGAAAGGCTACTGCTCACCAGTTAAGTCAAGAGCTTGCAGCCGCCATGGAAACTGTTTTTCATCACGGCAAACAATATACGAAGGCTTAAAAAGGCCTTTATGCCAGAAAGCCAAGGTATGTGTTTTACTGTCTTCACAGAAAAAGAGGGATCGCTTTAATTGGTAAAAACATCAAAACTGGACTGAACATCATGGTCCATGTTCTCTTACTGATGAGTCGCGGTTTAGTTTAAACTGGTGATTCTAAAAGTGTTTACATCTGGAGGGAGTCAGGAACACACAAATGATCCCTCGAATATTGTGGAACGTGACCGTTTCGGTAGTGGAGGTGTAATGGTATGGGGTGGAATAATGATCGATGGACGTACGCCCTACCACGTTTCAGCGCGGATCTTGTGACAGGCCAGATATATCGAGATGAGGTCTTAGATCCTTATGTAAGACTTTCAGGGGTGCATATGGACCTGACTTTTTATTTATGGATGATACTGCCCGTCCACATCGACAAACCTCGTTGATAATTCCTTGAAAGTGAAGACATTAAGCGAATACCTTGGCCACCAAACTCTCCTGACCTTAACCCGATAGAGAACTTATGGGACTACTTGGAAGAGACATTGCACGTATACCTCCTCCTCCTAGAGATGTAAATGCTCTGAAGACGGCATTGCTGGAAGAATGGAGATTAATTCCCCAAACTGTGGTTAACAACGTTATTTCCAGCCTTAAAACACGTTGTGATATGTGTGTACAAGTCAGGGGAGATCATATTCCATATTAAATTCTAAGACTTAATTCTTTTCTGAATCATTCCTTTTTTTACTCTCTTTGTCACACTTTATTACCATTCTTATTGTTTCATGCTACAATTATATCATATCAGGTGATCTTCAATTTTTCTTTTGCATTTATGTGTCATCATGTTATGTATGATTCCACGAAAATTCATTAAATTATAAGTCATAGTCTCTGAGAAATCCGTGAATTTATGCATGTAAACATAATTTTGGACATGAGTGTAGATTAGGTTAGGTTACTGTATTTCCTTGCATATTTTTCTTTGTAGCATTTCAGCACCAAGTTCTGAAAATATTTGAAACATTTGCATAATTTTCTCCTTTCTCAATGCATTCATAGAATAAGCTCCCTTAAATTTTAAAATGAATTCATCCGTGTACTGACTGCTGTCATCTAGCTTATGAAGACAACCCCTCAAAAATTACCTGCGAAAATCACATCAAACTCTTCCCTTTTAACTGTTAAACTTAATTCAGCCTTATACAAGAACCAATAAATCGCAGTGAAACAAACACGAACTGAAATTCAATCTACAACTTTGTTGTGTCAGCTGTCCACTCACAATTCTCTAATTATTTATGGATGATGTCAGATTTAAGGAGTAGCAGAGACAACAATGAGAATGGGCATGACTCAAGTTATAGGAAAGTTGAAATGAAGATATCTTATTAAATATTGTAATGTTAATATTATTATGTATTCTTACTGAAATGTAGGTTTCTTTAAAGAAATAATACTGTGAGAGTTACCTGTAGTTTATCTATTATAACTTTTCATTTGTTTTTTCTTACTTTGAAAATTAAATTACTTGCATAATTCCCCCCTTTCCATTTTTGGGAAATAAAATTAGAAAAAAGGGGATACGCAAGGAAATACAGTATCTGAATATAGCAAAGCACACAATGGCTACTGCCTAAAAGAGGCATGCTTTCATGGAGAACTTTCTAAAGGAAACCGGCTAGTATTCACATTACATGTCATTACTGAACTTATTTTTGCAACAAATGCTATTGTTTTCACTGCGTCTTTGATTTAAAAAAATTGTAAATGTTCCAAGCAAAAAAAAAAAAAAAAAAAGAGAGAGAGAGTTTAGTATTTTCAATTTTAAAAAGATAGAGAACCAAGGTCATTGAGTGATACGACAATATTCTTTACTAGCACCAAAGTTTAAGATATCAGTTAAATTTACATATCAGAATTTCAATTTCTCAAAAACACTTGGAAAATAGTAGTTTATAGCATAAAATCTACAATATAATTTACAGAAATCAGCATACCCCCAATTCTTTGGCAATTATATCCCAATTTAATTCATTATATCTTTCAGCAATTTCTCTTAATTTTGCATCTTCTGCAGCTGTAAATGGTTTTTTATTAATAGAATTACTTAAGAAGTTATTCCACATATTTTCGCATTCTTCTGGATCTCTCATACCTTCCATCTGAAACAAAACAAATAAAAAAACATTTTTTAAAGATTTCATAACTTAATTTCCTTTTAATTTAACAGGCACATATCAAATTAAAATAAAATTTATTCATAGTCATGACTCAAAACATCTAGTTCAAATTTTGAATTACTATACACGGCATTGTAACAAGCACAAGAAAAAAAGGAGAGAGATCAATAAGAGATCACGAGCTGGCATTGATGTAACACAGAAGCTCACCACAAGCTGAAAACAACAGACCACAGAGATTAATAAGAAACAGCATGCAATGATATAAACAGAAAAGCTCACCATAGGCTCACTACAATTAAAGCAATGGTTTCTTCTCTCCAGGAGAAAAAAAACTAATTGTAGGCTCCCTCTTTTAGTTTAAAGAGCCACTGGTGTTTAATGCATAAAATTACTAATTATTATTTAATAAATTATTTGTCCTCAAACAAAGAATTTATTTGTTGTATAACATCCTTACACTTCCATTAGTAATCATATGCATTAAACAATAGCAGCTCTTTAAACTAAAATAGAAAGCCTATCATCAATTTTTTTCATTCACTGAAAGTGAAAACCCACAGATTGGCATGTGTTACACGAAGTTGATGCTCCTTTCTCTACAAAGTAATTACAGAGTTTCGATAATTTTTATTTAGTTTTCTCATAGTATTGTCTATTACGTTTTTTTCACAAGCATTTCTTTCATTCTTCTTTTGTTTATTGCACATTGTCACATCATTTATTTCATTCTGTTTACCTTTGCATTGACCCTCTTAATGTTTCCTTTTTCAAAATCATTGATTATTTTTGGCAAATTAAAATAAAATATAGCAAACACCACCCAATACACTGACTGTCTACCAAACAACTTTGCCATGTTTTTGAAATAATAAAAAAAAAAAAAAAAAATACAGCAAACACCACCCAAACATACTGACTGTCTACCAGACAGCCTTGCCACTCACACGTGACTGCACATGTGCATGGAACTTTTAAATCTCCATAATTTTGCTATTATTGGAGCATTATGATGCATATATCCTCTGACTTCCCTCTTCCCCCCTAATGTTTTTTTTTGTTTACCTAATGACGTATTTAGACTGATTGCTCCATTTGTAGCTTTGAAGATATAAGCATTCATACACACCTTAAGTAGCGTCTTAATTTTTGCTTTTCCATCAAGCCATTACAGGGTTGTCACTCAAACAGGAGAATGAAATTTTCTGACTTTTTCAGATTTTCCAGGTATGTTTTAAGAAAATTCCAGTCTACCTGTGTAGTGCGCATTGGCTATGCCTACAGGTAAATTAATTATGGTACCACTTGAAAACAGAAAAATGTGCCAATTACTTCCCAAAAGATTACTGTTATATCTATTATAGGGGTTGTTTTCTTATCTGAAGATTGAGTTTAGAATCTGCCCAATCTGAATTAAGAAATGTCTTTAATGTCTTTTTTTGCAGAGATTTTGCAGCTAAACGAAAGAAAGAAAATTAATTACATTTTAAAATAAATTCAGGTATTTTAGATTTATTTGGCAGCATACAAAGCAAAAAATATGTGCATTCAATTTTGTGATTGTATGTCATCATACTGTTATAACTAGTTTCAGGATTATGCCATAGAAAATAGCCTAAAATTTGAAAGTATTATTAACGAATAATAAATAAATTTAGAAGGAAGAAGCACCATTAAATGATATGAATAACATTAAAAATAAATTAACTAAAGATTAAAAACTGAATTACAGTAATAAATAATATTTTGGTGAATATACAGAGGATGTTCACATATTTTTGTAATGATTTTACAAATATTTATATATAAAAAAACCTTAGGATTTTATTTTCTAACACGTTCAGTCTGATAGCCCTTTTGCTGAACTATCATATTACGCCTTGATTGCCTGATTGCCAAGATAAAAGTCCCTTTCTTGAAACATCAAGGTTAATTTTATTTGACTCCTCCTTCACAATCTTCCAGAGTCCATCCAGTATTTGGGGATGCCACTTACAAAGAGCGTGTTTTTAAAGTCCAGATGCACAGTAATCTGTAGAAGACACATTAGGGGACTTGGGTGGGATGCATTTAAAGGGAATAGCTTGAAACCCAGTTTCATTTCTTATTTTTTCAAAAAATATAGCAGTAGATTTAGAGGTATGGCTTGAAGCCTTATCCTGATGGAAGCAACACAGTGAAGATTGTTTTGATAAAGAGATGGAATTTCTTCTTTAAAAATAGGTGTTGAAACATATTTCTGATAGCAATCCAAATTAATTTTGACTTTTTTTTTTTTTTTTTTTTTTACTTTCTTTAGTTTAAATTTTCTGTTATAAAAGAATTCAGTAATAACCATAAAACCATTAGAAAAACATTCTTTGTTTTCTCTGAACCAACATATTAAGTCTTTTTCTCCTCTTTTACGGCAGTAAATCGATCTTTTCCTATTGCAATCATATAAGTATGTCCCAGTGTTATCACTTGTAACTAACTATACATTTCCAATTTTCATCTGCCAAATAATTTTCATACAGCAATCTGGACGTAGTCTTAAACTGAGAAAAATGCTTCGGCATTAGGCGATGAACATCATGTTTTTTTTATTAGCTTTTAATCAGATTTTATAATTTTGTTCACAGTTTCTACGGACATATTTAAAGATTTTGCAATAGCTCTTTGGGATCTGGATTTTCCCTTAAAACACGAGATTTAATAAGAGTTGTACGTACCTTTGTTGGGTATGCATTTTTTGCCTTCTTCCCACTCAGATATAAACTTTGACATTTATTTCCTTTCATATTAAATATGTCACTTGTTTTTGCATGTTGAAATCTTAAAATCATGCTTTTCACATCTTTTTTAATAATTCAATAAGAGTATTTCACTTCAGACAGCGCTAAAATCGAGCCTTCGATCCATTGTTTAACTTTCAGCGACATTTTACAGAAAAGAATATTTTTATATTATTTGTTACTACATTAAAAAAAATAAAAATTTTATCATTAAAATTTTAGATTAGATTGCTTTTTTCCATAGATTTGAATTCAATTTTCAGAAGTAAAATTTTATTCTTCTCTGCACCGTTTTTACAACAACAACCAAACATAAATCACAATATTAAAAGCCAACATTCTTGATAATACATGAAATTTTTTTATAAGATCTAAGGGAATTTTATTTATCTAAATTGCAATGTCTTTTGCACAAATTTAAAGACTCCCTTTTCAATATGATAATCAATATGAACTATTCTTATATAGCTACTTTATTTTAAAAAGTAATAAATATCACGAGGAAGAATCATGAGGAAAAAAGAAAAAGACTTACATATGTAGCTGAAATAGTCATCCAATCTATATCACTTTCCCTCCTCTTAAGTAAATCTGTAACTGGTATTTTTCTTCAAATGAAAGAAAGATATTTATAACAGTGCAAAATAAATATATTTAACAATATTAAAAAAGAAATAAAAACAAAAATATATTTACTTGATTTCTTTCATCTGCATTTCGATTTCTGAAATCAACTCCTCCTTTATTTCCTGCATTTCTGAATCTGAAATATTTTTATCCTTTAATTTTTCCTTGAGGTAATTTCGTCTAAAAAAATAAACAGACTTAATTTACTGCATTAGAAAAAACCCAGCAAATTGCTAATATGCAATAATAGTGAAGACATATTATAAAAATGTTTACATTTTTGTGTAATAATTAACCTACCCCCCAAAAATGGAAAAAGTCATTATGAGTCCAATTATTTTCTCAAATAAATATGCTTATTAATTTTGAGCACTTAACAAAACCTTAATCAAGAATATCAAACCTTTATTTCAGGACATACATAAAAAAAAAAAAAAATAATTAATTACGAACTCCATTTTTGGTTTGTCGTATTACAAAATTAATTTTTTGAATTAAAAGTGATTAGGTTCTTAACACAATGGTACCTGGTACAACAAATATCGCACATAATGAATTCTGTCTTGCATTATAAATCACTCAAGAATATGATACATTATTAATATGCTAAACATACAGTCAAATATGTTTCACTTCCCACTTAGGCAGCACACAGACATTTTCTTTCTTTCTTTATATATACACACACGTGTGTATTTCTTTACATATATACACATGTGTGTATTCAAAATATGAAGAAAAATTTATTACCAAATAAAAATTTAACAAACTGACAAGAGACCTTTAATTTACTAATTTCCAAGGCATCTGCAATTTCCCCGCAGTATCTGCATTGCTGTATATTTTTTACAGTGGTTATTCAGAACTAAAACAAAGAATTTTCAAGCTTATAAATGCTACAGCAACTATGTCTCTTTTGCTGCGTCTTGCTCCTACTTACTGTTAAAAATGTAATGCATCATAATAAAAATTGTGGGGTGCAGATTGTTTTCATTGTGACGTGTTACGCAATAAAATAATCAACAAATAATAAAGGTATGTTTGGATTATCAAGTGATTTTGTAATTCTTCAAAATTTCCTGGCATCTTCTACTACCCTAATGGATATTTCAGTGATCTTCTAATTTCAATCCACTCATGACTACAAAATAAATGGTGTCTTTCTTAGTCAAGTACTCATTCTAATATCAAATTATCAACAACATACTACATTATCATCATACAAATACAGTACAAAGTCCGAGATCCGGACGTCCAATATCTGGAATGATCTAAAATCCAAACCTCAAAGCCAACTTTTTTTTTTTTTTTTTTTTTTTTTTTATGTTTTGCGTATGCGCACTTGACATTTTTCCTCCCATAATAAAAGATGTGGAGAGTCCCAATGCTTGATTTCACTTCGGAACTACATAAAATGCCTCGCTATTGAAGAAACAATTATTTTAGCATAAATTTGTGTATCAATATTTTTCCTCCATAGCTGTGTATCTGCTTGCCATACATCTCAAACCGAAACATTCTACATAGAAACATTGCTGATTTTACACCCACTATTAGTCTAATATTTTATATTCCTGACGCCAACCTAGTCCATCCTTATTTATTACATTTTGCTTTCATCACCTCATGTTTACCAGCATTGACAACTTGAGTAATGTATCAGCATATGACAACTTGAGTAATGGACTCATGCAGCGATGCCTAAACAATTTTTTTGCATTAATAATTGAATAACAAAGAATATGGTAACCTTTTATGTTGACATTGCACTTCCCATTGATTAAAGTTAAATGCACTAAGAAATGTTGATGAGGGAAAACTTAACAAAAATTTCTTTGCTTATGCTAAAAATAGATTTTGTTCCCGATACTCATAGGCGAAAAGATTAGAGTTAGTGCTATTTGAATTATGAATAACTGATTTGTTATTCACATAAAACTAGAACCAGTGCTAGAGGCTTGCATGGCCAGATTTAGGGAAGACAAAATTTTGGGGATTTAGAGAAGCACCGAGCGACAAAATTTTTAGAATTTAAGGAAAGGGATGACAAAATTTTTAGAATTTAGGGACAGCAATGGGACCCAAAATTTAGAACTTGGTAGGAGAGGCACTTGGTAGCTGAATTTAAGACCTTCAGAGATTACATCAGACAGTAAAATATCTAGTGCCAGCCCTCGATAAACCTTAAATATATGTGGAAATTTATTTATTCAGGACTCAAATCAGCCTTAAGCATGGGCAAAGGAACGGGCGTAAGCATAATAAATAATTAATCAATTCAGACTTAATTGTCTCAGCATGTTTGAAGCAGGACAAAATTTAACGGAACAACTTGTCTTCCAACGCCAATCTCATGATGCATAGCTAATAATGTACAGTAGATGCTATTAAGCTAAGCTAAATTATACTTTATTAATTCCAAGGAATTTCAGTTATAATAGCAGATTGTGCTGTTCCTTAACTTTCTAAATTGATCCAGCTCATTATTTTTTTACAGGCTGTTATTATTACAGCAATTTTATGAAAATTTGTTTGAACTTTTGATTATGTCAAAATAATTCTGGTGCTGCAACAGGATCTACAAGTGAAAACATATTTTGATGTCCATTAAAAAATAGAATTGCTGCAAAAAAATTAATAAAGGTATAAATCGTCTCTAAATCTCGAGGAAGTACAGCATGGGAAAATCGGCTGTATATGTCGAAGAACAGAAAAAGGAACAAAAGAAAACAGGAAAAGAAATTTTGAATATTTTGTGGATTCCGACACCCCACTCAAAATGAAAACAGGAAAAATTTAACAAATAAAACTGAAAAATTATTTGCAATGCAAAAAGTGATAACTGAATGACTCAGACAATGTCACAGTGATGGCATCCCACTGACAATTCCTAATGCTAATTGCTAAAGCCAAAATACTTCATGAAGAAATGAACTTAAAAAATGAATGCACATATTCGACAGGTTAGTTAACCATATTTAAAAATCATCATGTCAAAGAGCAATTAAAGGTTTCAGGTGAAAAAGCTTCAGCTGATACTGAAGCTGCTGAACTAATAGCAGATGAATTCATTGAACTTATTAATAGTGAAAAGTTATCTCCAGAACCAATTTATAACCCTGTTGAAACTGGTCTTTTCTGACCATAAACTGGCACTGCGCAATACCTTGGCGACCTCTACAGAAAAGGCTCCAACTGGTGTCAAAGATTCCAAAACAAGACTAACAATTTTAACATGCACAACTGCAGGAACACAAGTGAAAACTTTTCACAATCAGAAAAAATACACAACCTCGGGCATTTAAAGGATTAACGATTTTCCCCGTTATATATCATGTAAATAAAACAGTATGGATGACACAAGCGTTAATGAATGATTGATTTGAAAATCATTTCTTACATAGAAAAAAAATTAGTTAAAATTACCTTTTACCACTCAACTTTTAAACTGACTACTTCTTGGTGTCGCGACATAAAAAAAAAAAAAAAAAAAAAAAAAAAAAAAAAAAAAACTATAATTAAACACTTACTCTCTCAAAATAAAAATAAATTAATTAAGCCAATCTTATAGTCACAACTCTTAAAACTGACTTTTTTTTCTACTACCGCAATATGGTTTCCCAGGTTCGATTGAATAACCATGTTCCGTAAGGACTACATGGGTGACCTACAGTAGACCACAATTAAAACTCACAAAATAAAATACAATAATTAAATCAATAAACATATTTATTACATATTTCAAATATTATAAATTAAGATAGCTGGCCAGCCTACCCCTACAAAATCTTTTTAAGTTACTTATAGTTTTTTTTTTTTTTTGTTTTTTTTTTTGTTTTTTTTAATATCCATCTCATTTTTAACATTATTCAATTCATACAAAAATCATAGTGAAACACCTCATATTAATTAATCTTTTAAACATGTACTCAAGAATTTAAACTCATGACAATTAAACATTAAAAAGAAACTAACACTTTCTCAACTATTTAGTACTCATAAAACTTTCTCAACTATTAATTAATTAACAGTAAAATACAAATTTTAATCTATATAAAAAGTCAGCTAAGGGGTTAGAATTTAACTCTTCCAAAATCCTAACAATTACTTATAAAAGAAAAGCAAAATGAAAATAAAAGTGTTTGCTCACGGAATCTGCGTACACAGTCTGAGGGAGTCGGGGAGCTGCCCGGATCCAGTCACAAAATGTCGAAACAAAAAGGTCCAACTTCATCGTTGTCAGGGAAACCGATACTGGAGTTTGTTCAAAGGCACCAAGGGTATTTTCTCATAGTTCCAGCACTACTGTGACCAGCAGCATTTTAACTTTAAAATCAGCCTTTGAAATGTTCGTGTTGACACGGTGAATAAAAGCAGACAAACAGACAAGAGGAGATGACTACAGTCAATAATCTCAGCAATAATCTGCATCTTCAGAGCGAAATCATCGGAATTATACTTGAAAAGAAGCCACTTCCTTGATTCAATATCATCATCACAAAATTTGTATCTTCGGCGCGAGCAATTCGGGATTAAAACGAGAAAGAAGACATGCCCTTATTCCATATTCCATTCCAACAGAAAATCTGTCTCTTTTTACTAAAACCCAGCATGATGTAACCAAGACCATTATGCCACAAGACAGGAAAAATACTTTGCCGCCATCTATCACGATGAGAGTCCACACGGCTCTGACAAATCTCCGCAGCCACAAACCAAAGGGACGTGGTAATATCCCTTAACTGCAACCCACGGTCGACCCCCAAAAGGTCACTGCGTTTGCTTTTTTTTTTTCCTCCACTCCCACTCAGAAAAGTTGGTCAGAACTTGCAAAAAACTCTGCTATAGCCCACTGATCAGTGCAGCAGAACATCTCTGACTGCGGCCATCAAAAAGGAAACCCACTGTAGACCTGAAAAATCTGCAAAACAAAATTTGCCAAAATCTGCTAAAATCTTCTTTCAGTCAAAAAATCTCTCCTGCCTCTCGTGCAATGGCTTAAGAAAATTTGGTTGACACTCACAAAGAAACGTCTCTAATTCACCATTGGCTCAAACATTAATAAAATTAATATTTAGCCAATGTTAAAGAAATTTGGACTCCCCCTAGCCCACTAGAACAAAAAGAATAAATAGCCTCAAGAATTTGTAGAAATTCAGAACTCTCTACAAGATGAGCTT